GTGGTGCTAATACTGAGCTGAAAGGCAAATTTTATATAACTGACATTTCAGTTTGGGAAGCTGAGCTTAAATCTGGGTTGAGTTTGAATTGCTGACTAGAGTCATCCATAAAACAGCGGGCCTCCAGGGGAAAGATTAGGAATGAAGATAAAGATCTGGGATTTGACAAGGAAGCGGAAATCTTGGGAAGAGATAAGATTTTTAGGTGGAGAGTGGGGAGTAAACCGAAAGCAGGCCCAAGTCAGAGCCTTGATAAACACCCAAAGGTTGATAGCATGCTGAGTGTGTAAAAGAGACTGAGGCATGACTATGGAAGTAGGAAGAAAAGCAGAGGGAAAGCAAAGCGAGGGAGTGCTTCAAAGAGCAGTCAGTAGTGCTGGGGAAAGGGTAAGCTGGCTAAGGATAAAAAATGCTCATTGGCCGAAACCAGTTTGGCTCAGTGGATAGAGCATCGGTCTGCGGACTGAAAGGTCCCAGGTTTGATTCTGGTCAAGGGCATGTACATTGGTTGTGGGCACATTCCCAGTGGGAGGTGTGCAGGAAGCAGCTGGTCGATGATTCTCTATCATGGATGTTTCTAGCTCTCTATTCCTCTCCCTTCCTCTCTGTGAAAAATCAATAAAATATATATATTTTTAAAAAGGTAAAACTAAGCTTTAAAAAAAATAAAATAAAAGTGCTCATTGGGTTCAGTGACAAGATGAGGGTAATTCCAGCGAAGCAGTTGGAGCCCTCCAGCACATGGAAGTGTGCAGTAAAGCACAGCAGATGGCTATTGGAGCAGAGAAGGAGGAAGTGCTGACAGGGTGGATATGTGCTATCAAGGAAGAGTTAGTTAACACGGGAGAGTTAGGCATGTTTATGTAACAATTGTGAGCACTGGAAGAATGACACCAGAGTATGAAAAGCCTGGAGTTGTAGGTAGACTTTGTTCTTGGGCAGTTTGGGAGCCATTTCAAGCAGGAGAGTGACATGTTGGTTGTCATGCCGTAGGAAGACTTATCTTGGAGCTGGTACTGCTGATCCCAGGGGACGGACTACCCCTAAGGAAACATGTCCTGCCTTGCCATAAAGCAGGCGTGTAGTTTGGGGTTCTAGGTGAGGCTGTCAGCCAGATCTTTCACCACACTTTTGTGGCAACCTTTATGGCTTTGCTTCAATTTTGTTGTCTAATTAGCTCAGTTTTCTTACTAGGACAGCTTTGTTAAGCTTCGTTTAGTTTGCAATTGTTCCAACCTTAATATCATCACAATTTGCTTCATAGACAAGATTTAATACAAGACAGTAAGTATAGACCCAAAGGGAAAGGTGTGTGAGCTTCAATATCATCTGCCTTGTTCATAAATCACAATATTGATCAAATATAAATTAATGCATGAATGTATACATTTGTATATGGGAACTCATGAAACCTCATTTATTATGTGAGAATGAAGCAGAAAGCAATTTTTATATGATGAACACCCAAAATAAACCATTTAGCATTTTTTAAAAACTTAGCTGAATGGATCTTATCTACATGTATCTATTCTTTACTTACATCTCCCCCTCTTAGAAGAAAAACTTATGCTGATCACTCCCACTATAGCTTTTGCTTTGGGTCCTTAGCAGAGAACTTTCACCAAGGGGGTAGCATTAAATGACAATTCTCATGAAAAGAGATAGAGGAAGGAACTTCTGAGAGTTTCATTTGTAATTCTATTGCCCATTTCCTCCCAATAACCAGCACATACTAGTAGGGGCCACTGCACCTTTTATTTGACTTTCTCGCTGATGAGATTTGCTTTGCTAGATTTACCCACCAAATAATGGTTATTGTTCGAACTGGAATATCAAACAGCAAGAGTGTCTGTATATTCTGTAAGTAAATGTCTATACAGGACAGGCAAAAAGTAGGTTCACAGTTCCATTGTGACATTTTTTTTTAGTTAATAGAGCTATTATAATGATCACAACCTGCATGTCTTCTCCCACACGAACCTCCATAAACCTACTTCTAACAACCTCAGTATAAGCTATTCGCTGGTATATTGAAAAAGATTAAGACTTTTTATAAGACGCCATGAAATATTATGTCCTTGGGGCAAAGATATTGCCAAAGAAGGGTGTAGATGTAGTGAAAGCAGTGAAAAGTGTGCCTGATCTAATTGGGAAGGTAAGGGGAGAAAGAACACTTTTCAGTAGAATTAATAGCAAGATTCCTTCTGTAAACCCCAAACTCAAACCCAGATAGTTGAGACAGTGTTCTCAACCCTGGCTTAGGTTTCAGAACCTGGGTGGGCTTTTTAAAAACATGGTGGAAGGGGAGGGGGGAGGGGCAGGCTGGAGTGGCTCAATGTGGGGTGGAGGGGAACAAATGTAATCCTTTCAACAATAAAGAATTATTAGAAAGGAAAAAAAACACACATTTCCTGTCCCCATTCCACGTCTACTAAATCCAAATAATCCACTTTCCTCTCCCCTCGGGGCATTTATCTTTTTGAAAAGCCCCTATCCTGGTTTGTTGTCAGGGTTGAAATCCCTGCTGAGCCCATAGTTACAGATGAGTTGTTAGAGAAGCAACATACAGGGTTATACGAGGATCCAGAACCCTAGTAACAGGGACGGTTTTAGTGTTAGCTAAAATTCTCTAGGCCTTTGGAGGAATAGGGTCAATTGTAGGATTAGGAACATGGCCTTAAGGGCACAAAAAAAAAGACATAGTTCAGCCTTCTCTTAGACATCCTAGACCTGTAGTCGGCAAACTGCGGCTCTGGAGGCACATGTGGCTCTTTGGCCCCTTGAGTGTGGCTCTTCCACAAAATACCACGGCCTGGGCGAGTCAATTTTGAAGAAGTGGCATTAAAAGAAGTTTAAGTTTAAAAAATTTGGCTCTCAAAAGAAATTTCAATTGTTGTACTGTTGATATTTGGCTCTATTGACTAATGAGTTTGTCAACCACTAGGACCTGAGCCAATTCAGAAAGTTGGTGTTCAATTAAAGTTCACTCTTAAGAAACAACTTTTGGGCAGCAAGATACAATCAATCCAAAGTAGAATGGGTCCCAAATTACAACTCAAAAATCAGGAGTTGCTAGTAGTTATTCAGTACTTGATAACATAGCTAGTGTGAAGTGAACTGAACTGAGATATGCTGTGTGAGTGTAAAATTCACACAATTTTCAAAGATTTAGCATGAAAAAACTTTAAGATAGTAATGATTTTTACTGTTAAAATAATATTCTGAATTATTGCCCCATTTTTTAAAACTGTTCCTTCTTACTGTTTTTAATGAAGCCACTAGAAACCTTAAAATTACACTATGTTGGTCGCATTATAACTACAGGACAATGCTAATGATTAACACTAACTTTAGTACCTAGTTCTAAAGGGGCGGGAGTGAGTCATAGTCTACAGTGGAGGAAGGTAATAGGCCTTAAAAGCCATTTACAGATAAATCCCTGGCTGGGGTGTCTCAGCTGTTGAGCCTCAACCTATGCACCAGGAGGTCACGATTCCCGTTCAGAGCACATGCTGGGGTTTCAGGGTCCATCCCTGATTGTGAGTCTGCTGGAGGCAGCTGATCAATAACCCTTGTCATTGATGTTTCTCTCCCTTCCTCTCTGAAATCAATAAACCTGTTTTAAAAAATATATATTTTATTGATTTTTTTTACAGAGAGGGAGAGGGATAGAATTAGAAACATCAATCAGCTGCCTTCTGCACCACCCCCCACGCCCCAACTGGGGATGTGCCTACAACCAAGGTATATGCCCTTGACCTGAATCGAACCTGAGACCCTTCAGTCCACAGGGTGACACTCCATTTTGCTTTTGTTTTTTAAATATAAATAAACCCCTAAAATATAACCACCGCGTGGGATCACTTGGGCAGGGCCGTGGGAAGGGCATCTTGAAGGAGAAAACGACCTTTAATTTCCTTGAAAAGCCCCTAAGACTTCACACTGGAGGCCCCGCCAGCTTGCAGCGGGAGGGAGCACCCCCGGGTGAGCAGGGAAGGCCCGGGGCCACGCGGCTCGGGGAACCAGCCCGGCGGCCCCATAGGAGGACACCTCCCTGGTCTCTGCTGAAGCCCTCACCCTGCAACGGGGAAATCTCCTCCCGGACCTGGGGAGACAACGCCCTCCGGCCATGTCTACGGTCCGCCCCAAGGCCGCCCCCCCCAGCTGGCTAATAGCACCAACTCAGGTGGGCAGGAGCGGGGCCGCGGAAGGAAGACGCACCTAAGTGTCCGCTTCCACGGCGCGCGCCTGCGCAGACGCCCCGCCCCAGCCCCTAGCTCCAGCCTCAGCTATTGCTCCTTCGGCCCGCCCCCTCGTCCCCGCCCACCTCGTACGTCACAAAGAGTGACGTGAAAATCGAACAATCACGGTCCCTCTCGTGAGCCAGTAGGAAAAGGAGGGAGGGGTGGGGGGGAGGGGAGAGGACGAACGGAGAAGGTTTAAGGGGGCGGGCTCGTCCCGGCCACCCAATCAGAGAGCTCCGGGCAGGAGCGGGGCGGGGACCCGAGGAGAGGGTGGGCGGGTGGGGGGCTAGGGAAAGAACTTGGAAGGCTGCGGGGAGGCGAGGGCCGACTCCCGGAGATTAAAACGCCCAATCAGAGCGCGCCGGCTTCATTCGGAGAGCGGCGTGGGGCGTCGCCGCCGCCACCGCCGCCGCCGCGCGCGCGCCGGGGGCTGGTTCAGGCCATGGAACAAAAGAAAGCCTGAGAGGGAGCCGCTGCCACCTCCGCCAGCCCGCCCGCCCCGCCGCCGCCGCCGCCGTCCCCACCCACCCACCTAGTTACCTGCCTCCGCCTCGGCCCCAGCCCCCGCCCCAGCCTCCCGTCTCCGGGCGGCCAGGCGCTCCCGAGCCCGGGTCGCCAGCCCCGCCGCCTCCCCGGAGGAAAGGTGTTTGCGCGCTAAGCGGGGCCCGGGCCCGGTCCGCCATGGGGCCCGCCGCCCGCCGCGCCTGACCCGGCCGCCGCCGCCGCCGCCGCCGCCATTGACAGCGCGCCGCCGCGATGCCGAGCGGCAGCTCCGCGGCCCTGGCCCTGGCGGCGGCCCCGGCGCCCCTGCCGCCGCCGCCCCCGCCGCCGCCGCTGCCGCCGCCCGCTAGCGGCCCGGACCTGGAGGGGGACGGGCTCCTGCTGCGGGAGCACCTGGCCGCGCTAGGCCTCGACGACCCCGGCCCCGCGGAGCCCGGCCCGGCGCGGAGGGCCGCGGCGGCGGCGCAGGGCCCGGGCCGGCGGGCGGCGGGGCCGTCTCGGGAGGAGCGGACTCCGCCCGGCCGGCCCGGGGCCCCTGAGACGGCCGAGCTGCAGCTGGAGGAGGACGAGGAGGGGGAGGACGCGGAGCTGGACGGAGACCTGCTGGAGGAGGAGGAGGAGGAGGAGCTGGAGGAGGCGGAGGAGGAGGACCGGCCGTCTCAGCTGCTGCTGCTGTCGCCGCCCGCGGCCGCCGCCGCCTCCCAGACCCCGCCGATCCCGGGCGGGTCCCTGGGGTCGGTGCTGCTGCCCGCCGCCGGCTTCGATGCCCGGGAGGCGGCGGCGGCGGCGGCGGCGGGGGTGCTGTACGGAGGGGACGATGCCCAGGGCATGATGGCGGCGATGCTGTCCCACGCCTACGGCCCCGGCGGCGGCTGCGGGGCGGCGGCGGCGGCGGCGGCCGGCCTGAACGGGGAGCAGGCGGCCCTGCTGCGGAGGAAGAGCGTCAACACCACCGAGTGCGTCCCGGTGCCCAGCTCCGAGCACGTCGCCGAGATCGTCGGCCGCCAGGGTGAGTGCGGGGAGCGGGGTCTGGGGCGGCCGGGCATGGCCCCGGGCGTGGGGGAAGAAGCACCCAGAGAAACGAGAGGTTGGGAGGGTCGAGAGAGCGAATCTGGCGAGTCCCCCCGAGTGCCCCGCGGAGAAGGGGTCTGGGAGGAGCCGAGGCCGGCGCGTGGAGACGGGTCACCTTTGGAAGACCAGGCGGGAGTCCCGCTCGTTCCGCGGGTGTGCCGGGGTCTGAAAGGTGGTGGTGAGTTTCTCCAGCCTCCCAGCCCGGCGGCGCTCCCTGGATTCGTGGAACACCAGGCTGGCGAGGCACCAAACCCCCAGCCAGGTGGGAAAAGGCTGGGTGGATGGTGCACGGGAAGCTCCGAGACGGCCAGTGCACACCCCGACCGGCTCGTAAAAGCGCTCGGCTTCCCCGCCAGCACCTCGTTCAGATCAAGGAAGGGGCAGGCATGGAGCCTGGTGCAAAGTGCATTATTCCGGAGGGAAGGGGATGCTCCAGGGCTGGGTTTCACCGCCTCCCCGCCTCCCCTCCGCTCTTTGGAAACTTCGCTTGGGAAGTGCAGCCTAACTCTCCGTGGATGTATTCCTCGGGTGCGTTTTTGTAATTCTCGAAAAGACACCTTGGCTGCTACCTTTTTTGCACACTTAAGCGTACACGATGGAGAAAAAATGGGCCAGTAAGGTCACCGAGTTAAGGAACTTGAGGCGTCTGTGCCGGGTTTTTTTTGCACATTTTCTTTCCCACTTGCCCGCACACCAGCCCTGCAGACTGGCTCCTCCCACATTGTTCAGACAAAGGACCTATGTCTCCCATTCCTGGAGTAGATCTATGGAGGTGGGGGAAGGGGATGCCCTAGTGCCTCTGAATCCGACATGTTTAGGGAAGGGCCAGGGCTCCCGTGTACCTTTCTCCCTGGATGAATTATCACCTGCAGCTGCCTTCTTACAATATAGTTTTGCCTGGCGGGTACATGTATCTTCACTGTTAGGTGGAGTGCATTGTTGGGGTCAAATACAGAGAAGCGATGGCGCTGCTGCTTAAATGATCTCATCTTTCCCAAGTGGTCTAAAGTACATAAATAAGAGGTCTGTTGAAATGGTGGTTTCAGATATCAGAGTTGGCTCATTTCTTACCTCTAGGATTTTAATAAGAAAAACCCATCCGAAATCTGGATGGAGGAGATGGCTAGCTTTTTTCAGACCTTTGATGATTGGTACTTACAGGCACTGTTCAAAGCTGATGCCTCTCAACGGAGAGTTCACAACTGGAGTTTGATAAATAACTTCTGCGTGCTTTGAGTTGTTGCAATATTTCAGATACTAATCCAGGATAAAGTTACAGCCTCTCAATTTATGGATCCAGATGAGTTGGCCATTCAACTAAAAACATCAAAGAATTGTGGCAGGCGGAGTTTATTCGTGACAGTTGGGAATGGAAGGTTGGTTCAAAGTTGTTGGCCTTGGGAAGCTAACAATCTTAATAAACAGTGGGTGTCACTAAACTGTGTAGTTAATGGCACTGACTGCAAGTGTGTGACTAACAAAAGTCACACATAAGAGAGCATCAACCCTGGAAGGCCTAGATAATGGATGGGTCTTTAACAAATGGAGGTAGAAGGAAGACTGAGGGGCAGTGGAAGGAATGGTGTGGAGGAGTAATCTCTAGGCCTGAGTGGGAAGTTGCAGTGTGTTGGGTGTTTTGTCTTTTTTTGATGCTTAAGCTCTGTAAAGGGGAGTAGTGAAGAGCTCAGAAGGTGTGTGCTAATGATCACTGTAGAAGGACGCGGACACCCTTATGGCCATACTAGGATGCCACTTCCTTAGCACAAGTTCTAACAATGTGCTCCTGGTGACAGTTTAGGGTATCAAAGTAAAACATTTACACGCTAATTTACTAAGGGACAAGGTAATGACACATCTTTTGTATATTTGGTTTAATACAAACTTTTTCCTTTTCTGTAATAGAGCCTTTTAAAACGCTATGAAATGGTCTTTAATTGAAAAGACTTATCTTTATAGAAATCCATGACTTAAAAGTAAACTGAATTCATTTTCAAGTCTTTATTTAGTACCATATAATAAACTGCAGCAAACAAAAAAGTATTTCGTTTTTCTTTTTAGGTGTCTGCTTAATGGTTAATAAGGATATGTGAATCTGTGTCTTAGGACGTGGAGACGAATTGCTAACTATTCCTTATTTTCCTGGAATTCATAGTACTGTAAAAGTATAATATGTCATCATCCTCTATCTTATCTTAAGAGCTGAAAGTCTTGCCCTTTTGCTGTTCTGAACCATTCAACATTGACCCCCGTGCCACTCCCACCCCTCAGCAACACCGTGGTGAAACTTTACTTTCCAGCAGAACTGGACAACTCCTAACGTCCGCGTCCTTCTACAGTGATCATTTCCCTTTCCCCAAGAGAATAAACAGGCAAGTCATTTGATTCATTTGCCTTGAATGAACCAAATTTTCAACTTTAAGAATTTTCTATTCCTGCCACTTCGTTAATTACCGGAAGTCATAACTTTTCTGTTTGACATCTCTTAATTGGGTTGGGAAATAATTATGTTACAGATAAAGACATTTATGACTTCAGCTCCAAAGCAAAGAGCAGGATAAATGGAATTCTGAGTCAGAGAGGCTCGCAGCTCTGGCTCCAGGGTCTTTCAATAAAGCAAACCACTGCTTTTGCTAGTGATGAAAATTGGCAAGTGTTGGCCTCATATGTACAATCCCCAATAGTGTTGTTGGTTGTTTGCAAATGCTAAAGTGGCCCCATTTTTTAAACCTTGCATTTTATTTTTAAACCAATAATACTGTAAAATAAAGCCAGGAACTAAAGAGCTTATTGGTAATCAGAACTTTTAGAAGATAGACTTAGAAAGTAAACCTAACAGCTGAAGCCGGTTGGCTCAGGGAATAGAGCCTCGGCCTGCGGACTGAAAGGTTCCGGGTTCGATTCCGGTCAAAGGCATGTATCTTGGTAGGGCACGTGCAGGAGGCAGCTGATGGATGTTTCTCTCTCATCGATGTTTCTAACTCGATCCCTCTCCTTTCCTCTCTGTAAAAAAAAAAAAAAAAAATCAATAAATATATTTTTAAAAAGAAAGTAAACCTAACAGATTTAAGACAACTTTTTAAAATGTAGTATTTACAAGACACATTCACAGTGGTTAACAGATTTAAGTCAACAGACTTTGTCCTAATTTGCACAATCATTGATACCCAGTTGGACTAAAAAATGAATTAAGTAAAACATTAGACCCATTCTTAACTATATTATAAATCTTGGTGTCATAAGTTCAGTTTTTAAAAAAACACTGAACCAAGGATTTTATGTTACTGTTTAAGAAAAGTTCCATTAGTGATTAATTGGTGGTTTATGTGTTCTCTAGCCTCACAGTCTAGAAAAGTCGTCTCCAGCTTTTTAAGAGTGAGGACAAAATGAAAATTGGAGTTGTTATTTTTTCTGCACTCCAGGGGAATTTCTTGCACCCTACTTTGGCTATCGCTGAGCTAGACCCTTGTAGAGTGTTTTTCTTTATTGAGCTACACTTGTCTCCAGTTTCATAGGGTTGGGACCAAGCTCTAACCCAATTGAAATAAGGTATATGCATGTTTATTCTTAGTCTTGCTATACAAATCCTCTTCAAGAAGAAATATACATCTCATAAGAAGATCATTCAGTTTATGGCTAATACTAAAAGAGACACAGTGTCTTTTTTTTTTTTTTTTTTTTTTTTTGTGGAATGGGTTGGGAGTAGGATTGTTGGCCTTCTTTATGCCGGGTAGTATGCTAAGTGCTTTCCTGATGCCTTTTAACCCTGCTGAGCACTGACCCCCATTTTACAGAGACTGAAGTTCTGAAAGGTAACTTGCTCAAATGGTGGTACTTGGTTTTGACCAGTTTGTTTGATGTCAGACAGAGATAAGGGTCTTGCTCTATATTGCTGCCTCAGCACTGAAGCATCCTGCTCCCAATGATTAATAATATTTTGGGTTAATTTCTGCTATAATCAAGAGTTGGGATACTATATGTTTAGTATGCATAACTTAAAAGATCATCATTATTCAAATTACCTTCATAAAAGTTTGGTATCTATTACTCAGAAGGCAGAGTTATCACTCTAATATTCTTAGGTCTATGAGTCTAATTAAATTTCATTGTCATTTTATAGTTTAGAAAGTTAATGTGTGTGTATATATACACACTAGCTTTAAAAATTAAATATTATAACTTTTTTAGGCTTTAAAATTTGAATTTAGTTGATAATTGTATTACCTCCAGTACCCTTGGGGGAAAGGTTCAGTTATTGTAATTGTTTTGCAAATTGATGGGTAGTCTACTGCCTTTCTTCCTGCCTTATTCTGCTAATGAACTATTTTGATTCAGGAAATGGAAAATAAAGTGGTAAATCAAGGGTGTATTTTTATATCCCATTACCAACAACCTAAAACTGACACAGGCAGTCAAGTATTTGAGAATTGTTACTCTGTTAAGAGATTTTTATTTAGATAAATATCCAACAATGTTTACAGGTTGAATTCTAGGTAGTTCGTAGCATGTAGTTAGTTATAGGATGGTGCTTAATGTTTTGTGGATTTGGTTTTGAATAAATTTGATATTTGTACTAATTAAAGTATTTAATATCTTGCCTTAAAGCTGAATACAAAGTATTTTAGAATGTATGTTTTAATGTAAAAATGCATGTTGTAAACTACAAATTGTCCTTAACAGTCTTTGCTCAATTGTGGTATTTTGGAAAGAGCCAAAAATCAGAAATTAAAATTCCTAAATTCTATTATGTGCCAGTAACTCACTTTATGATCTTGGATAAACTCCCCGGGCTTCAGATTCCTCCTTTTCAGCTGGGTGTAATCGAGAAACTGAGTGATGCACGAATAAGTTGATACATATGAAACTAAGCAATAAGCACATATTACTTTTGTTAAGTTAAATCTGAAGTTAATTTGAACCACCCTATTTAATCACGTTCAC